TCCCTGATGAGATCGTCAGGTGAAAGGTCATCATCATGTGGATAATTTTATTTACGATTAAATTATTATTAATTCATTTTACTAATAGTTAGATTGGGCAGGCCTTCACAAAATGGCGTTTAATAAAAAAAAATAATAATTGCCTTGACAAAAGGGCACTTTGGCCATCAAGGGGAAAAGGGGCAGGTGCTCAAGCACCCATCGCACCCCCTCTGCACGTGCCTGAAGCCACAGCAGAACTGTTGTGCATCTCTGAGCAACACAGCAGTGTTTCGTTGTGAACGAATCCACGTTTTGAACGAATCGAGTGAACCAATGATTCAATGGTCCATTCATAAAGAGAGCCATTTACTTCATTCCTGAATGAATCAGCCGTTTGAACGAATCGAATGAATGACTCAATGACTTACTCATAAAGACACCTGCTGACATTTTTTGTTTCTTATTTAGAGTATAATTTCATTTAAAAAAAATTTTGGTTACCAATGACTTTCACTGTATGAACAAAAAAAAAAAAACTCTTATGTTCCATAGTTTATCTTAGGCCGTTATAGCCTAAATGTGTATGTGTTCTGAATGTTATTTTGAATCAAGTGGTACCACTTTATAATAACTTTCATTAATAAATCATTAACAAACATTAAATAACGCTTAATGAATACTTAGTTAATATATATTCAAAGAGTTAGAAACGTGAGATAATGTGCTTGATAATGTTTGCTAATAAACTTATTAAGCATTAGATAATGTTCAAACAAATCACTATTTCATGCATGTTAAAATGCTTACAAATGTCATTAACCTTTCAATTCCATATGATCAAGCACTTATGTTATAAATGATGTTATAAAATGATTAAAAGCTTGTGTTAATGCACAACACTTTTGCTGTTATTGAGGTGTGACACGGGTAAGGTTAGGGACAGGTTTGGTGGTATGGGTAGGTTTAAGGGTTGGTTAAGGTGTCAACAGTGTAGAGGGGTCAATTTGATTATTATAAGGGAACACGGTTCAATCTATTTATATTATATTGTTTTGATAAATTAAGTATTTTCTTTTAAAAAATGATTTGTTTGCCCCTGTTTATTTATGATTCAAGGATTATCTTGTTTAATGATATACTGAAGAGTAGTATACTAATGTGAGTGTTGAGGCAATAAAAAAAATTTTTTTGCACCAAAATTACAATCTGTTATGTCTTTAGCAAGCATTTAGCTAAACTTAACCAGCCACCCTTTACACAAACTTTGTTACATTAGCTAAAAGTCCAATGCCCATAAAGATATTAAATGATTAGTAATCATTTATACAAATTTATTGTGAAATAGTCTCAACTTTAGATTGGCTACTGCAAAGACATGAACAAATGATTAATACATGATTAGTAAAGATGTGTGAATAGGGTAAATTCAGGTCTTTCGGGACACTTTTTGCCATTGAGATGACTGCTCATAAAGGAATTAATGATTAGTAAACATTTATAAACATTTGCAAATGATGAATAGTTTCCACTTTAGATTGGGTACTGCAAAAACATGAACAAATAATTAATAGATTATTCGTTAAGATGTGTAAATAGAGGTCTACACAACAAA